TTTTTTTTTCTCCCACAATTGTTTTTTCTGTCATATACAGCAAACACAATATACGTTCTAATCACCGTTCAAATCTAATAACTCCGCCTAACAATAGATTCACTATTGGTGTCAATCTACAGCAAGACCATTATTCTCATCCCGAATTCAACAGAATGCATTTTTGGAAATGAAAACAGACGTAGTTGCTTTTCAACTAACTCAAGGTACTTGCTGATGTAAATAATGGGTTCGTTTCTTTTGTGGAACCGTTGTTTTTCAGAGATTACACACCCTGTCTCTGGGCTGATTGACTCGTATATCTCATCCTCACATCCTTCACACGTCAACGTAGAACGGCCTTGTCTCAAAATTTCCCTTTCTTACCAAGTCTTTTTCATTATATTCTTTCTGGTAAGGTTATTGTTCACAATGCAGGGCCTATATTAACACATGCCTACTCAAAAGCATAGTACAAACCTACAACTTCTGTCATTACACAAGTATCATCAACCTAACTTATTTCAAACAATGTCTACACTTCTAATCACCATTCCCCATTTTACTCCACCAAGTCTCTTCCAAGTTTTGTCCATAACCATAGGATCGATAAACATGTCCAAACAATAACACCTTCAGGTAAAAATAAACGTTGTTCACATTGTTTGTCATACATGACAAGAAGCAAATAAACACAGAACACTTTGGTCATCTTAAATGCAACTAACTATATGTGGTTTTAACTACTGCAAGATCCAAGGGCACCATTGCAAAAACAGGTGTTATGCTCTCAGCTATTAAAAACTGCTGATCATATTGTTGAAAACTAAATAGAGAGCATGAGGACAAAAAAGACAAAAAAAACAAAAAACAAAAAGCAAAGTATACAATGGCGTACCGAGTAGGTTTTCAGCAGCAAATTTCAGGCAAACGGATTTTAGATCTGTGGCATGGTGGCGGTCAGCCAAAGCCAGGATATTAGAGACAGACGTTACAGATATATCCTTGCAGAGAACAGATTCACACATCAATCTCAATCTGGGCAACAAATACTTGTCTGCCGCTGCTAACAACTTTGCGGCTAATGTCTCGGACGAAGACGAACTTGAATTTAAGGAATCCACGCCTTCCATAAGCGTATCTCTATATATGAAGTGCAACAAAGCCTGCTCAAGAAATTACTAATTCACTATTTGATTCAAAACGTTAAAGAAATACCAATTATGGAGAACTTTAAACATACCTTGAAAACATCGGGTTCCATATCTGTGATAACAATTTCAGGATTATCTTCTTCAATTCCGTCAAAAATTTCTTTTTCAAATACAGAAGAACGAGCAGCCATAACCAGCTTGTGAGCAGGGAATTTGACCCCAGAGACATTGAAAGTAACGTCGGAGCCTTCCTCATTCTCCAACAACATACCAAAATGGACTCCAATGTCAGATTGGGGGACATGTACAGACTGTAATCTTGAGCTGTCCATTGCAGAGACCACAACGCCAACTGTGCAGTTAATTTTCAAGCAATCGTTCTTTAGGAAAGTCGACGATTCAAGCAGAGTCCGCTTGAAAAAGCGCTTGTAACCCCTACAAACAGAAAGAACTCTCTAAGTAATTTGATTAACTGGCAATGTTAGTCCATCACACTAGCATTTTTAATCCGTTTGTCAGGACCTAAGAGAGAGCATTTCAAAGAATCTATCAACAAACAAACTTTTTGATTAAGAGCAGTCCAAAAAGAATAATCTTTGAGAACATGATCAAAATGAAATCCTAATCTAATCTTGAAGAGAAGCCATGAATTACTGACCACATGCTGCCGCGGTACTTGAGGGTGTAAGGGCCGGTGTCGAGGGAGCGGTCGAAGTGAGAGTGGACCTTGTGCTTGGGGCGGTGGTCGGACTGGTCGAGGAGGGTGAGCTCGAAGAGAGCCCTGACGTCGGAGCCTTCGCTGGCGAGGGCGATGAAGACGGAGACATAGGCGGCGTTGTCCTCGGGATTCTTGCCGTCTGGGTAGAAGTAGATGGCCCAGTCGTAGCCTCCAACGGAGAAGCTCTCGCTGGCGATGTGCTTCCCGACGCCCATCCCTTTCGCAAGAGAGTATCCTCTTATCGTCAGGCTGTGCGATCCGTTCACCGTCTGCGTCACCGATTGCGACCGTGATGATTCTCTCATTTTCAGCTTGATTTAAAGTTTTGATCTTCAATATAATAGAAACGAAACCCTAGACAAGAAGATGAAGATGATGAAGGCAAAGAAGACGAAGAAGAAGAAGAAGAA